CGAGCTCGAGAGCCCGCCCCACCGTCGCCGTTCTCGAGGTCGCTCGGCCGCCGCCGCCATCTCCTCCGCCGCCTCCTCTGCGGCACCGCCTCAACCACCACCAACAATCCTAACCCAGGTACAATCTTGTTACTTGTGATTTGTAAATGCTATCTGCACTTCAGCTGGTGCTTTTGTGGCTTTTGCTTATGCGTTCAGTTATTCTTCTGTTAAAATGTTTCTCAACTTAAATAGCATAATTAGGCCTGGCCGCCTGGGACCTTAGCAAAAGCCATGATTAGAAATTTGGTTTTATTGTTTAGACATCCGTTATCTTGAACAGTTGAGGTTTCCTTACTTGATCTGAATTATAAGCTTTTAAATAAAAATGGCAGAGCCGGCATTGTGACAGTTGAGGTTTGCCTTTTGCATTTGGTCAGTACTTACATTTTACAATTCCTCTTCTGTCATGGGCACACTTTTATCTATAGCTGAGAAATAATGTGTTGCATCCTGCTTTCATTCTTACATGTTTGCTCCATACTTCATTCTTACATGGTTTTCAGTAACTCAGAATTTCATGAATGTGATTTCAATATCCACAATTTGTTGATAAGCTTCGTATGATATCTTCTTTTGTAGGTTTTATCTTCCGACTGCACATCAGCTAAACGTTTGAAATGTGAGCCTCACTATGACAAATACTAGTCATATAATAGGAAATTTTTTCCTTTTCAATTTGTGGTTGAAACTTTGCTTTTATTTACAATCAGAATACGCATACACAATGCAAGTGACTGCTCCAGAAAATGTTTATAGCTATGGAGTTGTATTGTTTCATATTCCCCAATTTCAAGCGGTGTGTGTTATGTGAGATAAGTGCAAGGAGCTTTTAAATGTTGGAAGGATACTTTGCTCATGTCAAATGCAAAGATGTTTGTCTGTAATTTTGTATAATCAAATAGTTATGTCTCCCCTTTCATCAACAGAGCATGTCTCAGTTGGATGTTATGTGTCCGTTAGATATGGAAATAGTTTTGAATGTATGTAACTGAACGTATTATGTTATTGCCAAACATATCTTTTTGTTGAGAAAAAAATACTGTGATTACATGTACATACTACATAAAGCTATAGTCTTATTGATATTTGCGTTGTAGGATGAATTTGGTTTCGGTAACTCAAAATTTGTTAATATAGCATAATAGTTAAAATAAACATCAAATAATATAAAGATTGATTAATATTGATATTATTAATATTATTATATTATTTTTAATATTTTATATTTAAATAATCTTAAAAATAATATTATTGTATATTATAACTATTATTTATTTAATCATTTGATGTTATATCAAGTTAAACTTGAATTTAATTGAGCTATAAATATAATATTATAAAAAGATGTCATACTATAATTGTCCCACTCAAATTGTCCCATTATCCCATTTTACCCCATATTACCCCACTTTATCCCACTCAATTATCCCATTGGGTAAAATTATCCCATTGGAACAATTTATCCCAAATTACACCAAATTACACCAACGAATAACCCCCCCTAAAGAGGTGTATTGGCACCTGGGCTAATACTTACAAGGTGTTTAACCTGGGCCAATACTTACAAGGGGTCTATTCGACATGAATTGAAATGCAGGGGGTCTATTTGCAGTTTGGTGTCACTACAGGGGTCTATAAGCAATTCATCCATGTTTTTATAGAATCAATGACATCTGCTTATAGTATTAGCCCATCTAACTAATTGTAAATATTCTCTACATTAAAGATCATACTCCCTTTAAAAGTACGAGTTCGGAAAAATCTTTTCATGGTCAATATTACCCTTAACTTTTTTCGAATATTACATTGTTATCCTAATCTATTTTAATTATCCTATCTTCTTTGATTTGGTAATTAAATAATTTATACTATTCATAATGATATTTAACATGTTATTGGATAAAGGAGATACGCTTGATATAATTCAAATCCTTTACTTATTTCAGTTCGCAGAGAAATCTAAAAAACATATACTAGCCAGCACCTAAATTTTTTTTGGACTTTGTAAAACATATCCTCCAAGTTTTTTTAATTGTAAAAACACCCCTACAAATTCAAAATTTTATTAAAACACCTTGAAAATTATAAATTTTACTTATTTCAATTTAGTGAGAAATCTGAAAAAACATACTCTAGCTAGAAACTAAAAGTTTTTTGACTTTGGAGAAAATATCTTGTAAGTTTTGAAAATTAAAAAAACACCACTAAAAATTTAAAATTTGTAAAAAAACACATTGAAAATTTCAAACCTATAAACACACTAAAAACCTACAAATAACACAAACAAACCCCAAAAATTTATGGAATTTGCAATAAATACTAAACTTTTTACAAATTGCAAATTAAAACCCTTAAAATTGTACAGTTTATAAAAATGCTGATAATTTCCAACCTAACTGTACATTAAAAATATATGAATTGTAAATATCCCCTACATAATTTATAATTTATATAAAACACCCTTAAAGTTTTAAAAATTACAAACAAAAACTCAAAATTTAAATTTTACAAAAAAAACACCCCGAGAGTTGCAAACTCATTAGTAATTTGAAAACAAAGAATTATAAATAGTCTATAAACAATTTACAATATGTAGAAATGACCTATAAGTTTAAAAATTACAAAAAACCCCTAAAATTCATAATTTTTAAGAAAATCACCATGAGAATTTCTAACCGATAGACACTAAAATGAATATACAAACTTACTAACAACCTCTAAAAAATTAAAAATTTGCAAAAAATATCATACTCCCTTTAAAAGTTTAGGTTTAGTAAATACTTTTCATGGTCAATATTGGCCATAACTTTTTTGAAAAGAACATAACTAATTGAAAATCTATTAAATTTAAAATTTATAAAAAACACCTTTAAAGTTTAGTACATTGCAAATTACACCTCCAAAGTTTAAAAAATTTTAATAATTTTTTGCAATTCCTTGAGTTCAATGTAATGTTTACTAGTTTTATATATTTATAAATTATAAAATTATAGGGTGTTTTTTTACAATTTTTAAAACTTTGAGGGTGTTTCTTTTGTAGTTTTCTAAAATTTTATTGTGTTTTCAGTGTAATGCATTAATTCATTAATTAATAATGATAATGAAGAGTAAATCTTTCTTAAGATGTATTAGGCCATAATTAAGTGCACATCACTCTTCCGAAGTAGTATAGTTTATATATGCAAATATTTTCAGACAATCTATATAGTGGTTAAAAGGATTTTGATTTTAATGTACTATTTTTATAAATTATATTTATTGTGAACCCATATAATTTTGACTGTAGTCATCATAATTATAATACATTTGATTTATTGACTAAATAGGTATATAAACCATAAATTACTTTACTTTCTCACATGAACTAATATTTGATGCTTAATAATTTAAATTATTACTTTTAAATTTAATATAAAGAAAAGCTCTAATAAATTTATTTATTTACATGCAGGATTATACAATCTAAATTCCTATTTTTTTGCTTGAGATTTATTCTATAGTTATGTGTATCAAATTAGTAACTACAACGCAAAGTTAACCAATTTTGTGGAGCCCAACTGCTGGCTACAAGCATCGAGGTTTCCACACATACACACACACACAAATAAATAAATAAATAAATAAATATATATATATATATATATATATATATAATTTATTAAAAAGGTCATATATATACTCTTATATAATAAAATTGATTTAATACTGAATAGTAGTATCGTTGTAATAATATTGTTATTAGGAAAAATTCTTCATGAACCAGTATGTTCTTTACAATATATAAGCTATGCACTCTAAATTCTTGTGTGTTTTTATAGAGCCAAAAAGTTTGAATACAAGTCTCTAATATTTTGCTCTCGCAATAGCAAAATTCACTTAGCAGACATGGATATTCCAGATGAGTTATATTACCTATATACAATACAATTACCCTAGGCAAGTAAGTTATAATAGTATTTTTCATTCACATTATTTGGAGCAAGATATGATAGGGACATTGCATCAAAGATTTTTTTTATATTTAGAGCACATGGGGAAATATATTATAATCTCCCTGCTCTAATTTCGCAAGAAAATAATTATTCATACTTTCAATTTTATTTCTATGATACGGAGAATGCTGAACCATACATTGATGATATTAATCTATGTAATATTTTTCAAAGAATAAAAGTTAATCAATTCTTCAAGTACAAGTGTTGCTCCTCAACTGCTTCTTTGTAATATTTTTAAGGTGTTTGTAATTTGTAGTTTTACTTCGGTTTAGGGCCCGTTTGGATAATGAAAGTATTGGAAATAAGAAATAGGTTACAGAAGTAACTTCAAAAACTATGAAATAGGAAGTAGCGGAAATAACATTTTTTTTGTTTGTTTCATATATTTTAGAAGTAATGGAAGTAGAACTTCTTCCTCTTCATTTACTTTTTTTGTTTGGATAATATTTGGAAATATTACTAGGAAGTAATTAATTCATGTTACTTTTATTTTATTCTTGTTTGGATTGTCATTGAAATAGAAATGTAAATGGAAGTATTATAACACACCACATGCCTCGAGGATTGCTGTGCTTAAAAGTTAGAAAGCTTACATCAAGAGTAAAACAACATCAATAATTCAAAAGCAGGACAATGTATAAGAAACACGAGGACTGAACATATTTGTTTATATATAACTACACAAGCAAGGATTTGACTAACAATGACAATCAATGTGTCCAAATTGTTAAAAAGTTCTGATTTGAAAATATTTGTTTATATATTTGAGGCAAGCACTGAACATTAAATGTTTTAGCAAATATAGAGACACGAGGACTGAACATTAAAGATCACGCGGGTTATACTCAGTTGTGAGGGAGTCGGTTATGAAAATAATCACTTCCTAATTATATATTTGAGAATCTTTTTTTCCTCGTGGACCCCACTTTACATCAACTTCCGCTGTATTTCAGTGCATTTGAAGACGGAAAAATATCAAGGAAGTAGAGGTGCCACGTAGACGCCATATCATTATTTAAAGAAGTAGCGGAAGTAGTTTTTACAGAGAAACAAACATATACTTTTGCCAAGAAGTAGCAGAAGTAGCCTCTACTTCATCTACTTCTGCTATTTCATAGTTATTTCCGTACAAACAAACATGCCCTTAGTAAAAGTTTATTAAAGTTTTACTTCTATCAATCCCATAAAAAACTGTATTTTCTTTTTTTATAATCTACTTTTATCAATTTAAATAATTATGATATTCAACCACGTGTATTGCACGTGCATCTCAACTAGTTGTAGAAAATTTGGGACCCTGTTTTTATACTGGGGCTTGTGGATTTGGATCCTCTCCACTACAAAAAAGTAGTGGAGAGACCACTACTTTTAATCTCAATCGTTGATTATCCTCTCCACTACAAAAAAGTAGTGGAGAGACCACTACTTTTAATCTCAATCGTTGATTATTTAGTAGGCGGTTATGATACAATCTAAAACTACTTTTAATCTCAATCGTTGATTATTTAGTAGGCGGTTATGATACAATCTAAATCTAACACTTACCAACCCCAGTATATGACACTCATTCCTAATTTGCACTAAAAGAAAAAATCACAACCATCAACTAGATATCAATGGCTGTGATTATGTAGTGGTCCCTCCACTATTTTTTTTTGTAGTGGAGAGGATCCGAATCCGGGGCTTGTTAAATGAGTTAGTTGGGTTCAATGCCATCTGCGTACGTGGTAAAAATTGATGCGCGAGATACTCTTTTATCTCTTGGGAAACAAGGAAGTTCGAATACTTTTTCTACATCCTCTATAAAAAGCCACGGCAAAGCAAAGAACCCTAGATCGACGGCTGCTATACTCATCAGAATAAATAAATAAAATAAACCATCTATTTCGAAATCCTTGAGCACCATGGCCACCATCAGGTTGAAGCTCCTCGTGGACAGAGAAAAGAACAGGGTGGTGTTTGCTGAATCAGATAAGGAGTTTGTAGACGTTCTTTTTAGCTTCTTGACGTTGCCAATGGGGACCATCATCAGGCTCCTCAACAAGCAGTCGTCGGTTGGATGGATGGACAAACTGTACGAGAGCGTGGAGAATCTTGACGCCAAGTATCTGGAGACCGAGGCCTGCAAGATGATGCTGCTCCAGCCCAGAAGCGAAGCCGAAATACTGTGTGAAGATTTACGAGTCAACGCCGATGACCTAGAGCCCAGGAGGCTCTACAGGTGCCCGGCGTTTGGTTGCTTCATCGGGGACAGCAGGGCTTTTAGTTCGATCAGTGGAGCCCGTTGCCGGTGCGGAAGGGCGATGGATAAATTCCTCTGCTGGGATAAACAGAAGAAAGATGCGAAGGACTATGGGTTTTTGAAAGGAGCAGCAACATTTGTTATTAGCGACGACCTGCACGTATCGCCTGCTGCTGTCACAAATCCCATCTCTTTGCTCGAGAAGTTTGGAGTCAAGGATGTCGATACCCTTGAGGAAAGGGTTGTGCAAGTTGGCAGAAAGGAGGTATGGACACAAAATTACAATTAAATTAATTTAGGTAATTTTATCTATTTTTAGAATTATTATGACTAATTAAAACTGCAATCTTAACTTCCGGAGGAAAAAAAAACATGTATTCCTCGCACGCTTTAAGACTTCTTAATTTGCTTTCAAAGTTTTCTACGATTTACTTATTTTCTCAAATTGTAAAAGAAAAACTACAGTATTAGACATACCCTCTTTAGTTGTGCTGTTGGAGAGACACCCCAGAGTGATTTTTTTTTTGACTCTTTTACCTCGGGAGGGTCTATTTGTCTAAAAAACAATTTTTACTTTCTCTGAGGACAAAAGGTTTAAAATTTTTCATTCATCTCTTTCTATAACCAATAGAACCTTAGATGATCTATCTGCAATTGGGCGACAGTTGAAGATATCTACTTGCAAACCCTAGTCAGAAAGGTATATAAGTCTTGTTTTTTCCCTTTTTAAACGACAATAATAGTCCAACTGCAACATTTAGAGCATACTACTTAGAATGCATGTGCACTGGACGTGGACACATATTATAATTGTTTACTTTAAGTTTATTTATTTACTATAACATGGTTGTAAAAAACTTTATAATTATCATAATATATTAAAGTTTTTTAGATATTTCCATGTGTAATTTTAACATTTTGTCTTCTAGAGAAATAGTGTTGCTTAAAGCCTTAAAATATTAATGGTTTAAGATTAATTAGTAATTTGAATATATAATCTCAAAATATTAATGATGTAAGGGACCAATACGGAAAAGCCTATTATTATTAATAATAATAATTCTTGAATCCATCAATGAAAATGGTAGGTTTTATCTAATCATTAAGGATTTTGTTTAGTTATAAAAAAATCACTTTCACCTGTTGTTTATTTCCACCTGTTGTTTATCTGACAATTGAGTATTATAGATATTCAAGAACTTTTTTCTAGATTTTTCTAAGTTAGAATATGCAAATTCAATCAAGAAAGAAAATATAAATTATGTGATCAATTTCAAAATCTGATGTTGTACTCTTTTTACATCTTCCCAACTACTAATTGATCTGTCAAAATGATTACTTTCTAATTTCAGAAAATTATAAAATATAGTCTAAGAATGATTTGTACATATTATGCACTCATATTAATTATATTTTAACAAAATAATTCATATCCATCCAATGTCAAACAACATCTAAAAATTTAGTTTAAGGAGTTAGAAGAAGTCACGTCCCGCTTCCCAAAATACCGAGGAATCAGAACGTGAACAAGCCCGTGACGTATTAGACTGAGGAGAAATAAGTACTAGACATTCTTCTCAATCTAATATGCTAAGAGTCATCAAAATAAAATGCGAAGTCACAGGTCCCCGATCACACATAGCAAGAATATAATGAACAACTCAGAATGAAAAAGAGAAGTATCACAAATAAAATATCATCCGAGACACAGAGTTTGGGTCAAACATGCCCTTATTACAAAACAGTCCAATAAGTACTAAAGAAATATGAAAATACATCGTTTAACAGGAATAGAAAGGAAGTACTGTAAAAATAGACTAAGGACCATCAAATAACTAAGGAAATAGCTAAGCTTCAACTTGTTCTTCTGCTCCATCTACAAGGCACTCCTGTTGAGAATCCTCTGACTCCTGTACGATTCCGAACTGAGCTTGTCCATCTCTTAAATCTAACGTACACCAGAGAAAATAGATGTACGTAAGCGTGCATGGCACACAAGATCCCACAGAGAGAAATAAAAACGGTCGAACGACCAATGTAAAAACAATAATAATAATAATAATAGAAGCATGCTACTTGAATACTAATAATCTAAATGTAATCTATCACTAGAATATAATAATCAGAAGAATCCAAAAAAATTAATCAAGTAACAAGTCGATCATGCAGCTAGTGATCAGAATAATCATCCAAGTAACAAGGTCATACAACTAGATGGAATTAATACTTAAAAGTCTACAACAAGAGACGTAATACGTCAAGCAAAATAATCTAAACAAGGAAACCCTCATGTATATACAATATGTCTCAAATTGTAGATAATTAAATATTAATCCCGATCTATGTATGAAAAAAATACAACTAGCCTACATCTCATAAGAATTCATACTTAGCCAAGAAACGAGGTCAGATAACTAGCCATCCTATAACAAGTCACTGGTCCATATCTCACATAGAGTCAACGTTCATATTATCGGATAACTGACTGTTCGCATATCCTCTACGTGTATCCAATACCGCTACACAAACTCGGTCAGAGGACTACACACAATCCGTTTTTAGCCTGGTTCGAACTCAACCTAAACTCGGGTGAATATCAAACTCACGGATCAAAGTGACTACACAAACTTCACTTTGACCCAACAAACCAACCCAATGCTACACAAACTCACTGGTGCGATCCTGGAAGATACATCAACAGCCACATCCGATCACATGAACAAATACTTCACCATCCCAACTCTCTTGTATTTTCTAAGTCAACAACACACAAGCATCTACGTCTTATTCAGATCACACATGTCACCATAGTCATGTATTTCTCGTAATTCTAAATTATAACAAGGGATGGTAAATGCAATTAATACCATGTGTTAGTGTCATGAATCATGAACAGGAATCGTGAACAACTACTAATAACAGTGTAAGATGTAACTATAACTATCAAATAATTACACGTGTAATAATCTAACCAACATTGTTAACTAACCAATAAATTTAACACGAGACAAGAGAGGGGATCTTGCCTAGGGTTGCGTCGGACGAGTCGACTACGGTTGATGCGGCACGTTGACGCTGAAGGTGGAGGCGGCTCTGGATGGCGGCGTCAGTGACGTGGGAAGGCAGCGCTGGTTGAGAGAGGGTAGCAGCGAGCATGACGGTTGATGGCGGCTGACGACGAGTGGCCAGCCAAGGCGAGGTTGTATCTGTAGGAGACTCGGCGCTTGCTGGCTGGAGACGTGGCGTCCAACAGCGAATGGGGGCGCGCAGATCTGGGCTGAGGGGCGGCATAGATCTTGGGCCAGGGCGGTGCTGGTCGGGAAGAGAAGGGATGGAGGATGTCGGGGTCCGTGGGTTAGAGGGGGCTCTACGTTTGAGGGGCGGTGGCTGTTTGAGGAGGGGTGGAGGCGGTGTAAGGTGGTCGGTGGTGGTGTTAGGCGGAACTGGAGGTGCGGGAGAGGAGGCTGGGCGGCGTGGCAGCGGATCTGGAGGAGATCCGAGGAGAGGCGGAGGTGATGAAGGAGGCGGTGATGAAGCTAGAGTTAGGCTCGTCGGAGTTGAGGTCGGTGGCAGGGAACAGGGGAGAGAGGGGAGAGAAAGAGAGGCCGCCAGAAAAAGAACACGAGCGAGAGAGAGAGGAAGAAAGAGAGAGTTATTTATATAGTTAAGGTTTAGATATTTAAACAAAAATAATTAATAAAAAATATAATTACTTATATTTTAAATCAAATAATTATAGAAAAATTATCTACAAAATAAAACGTACCAGCTATACTAATACAATAAATAATACGTAATAGTAGTAATAATACAACTAATTGTACAATTAAACAAGAATAATTAATAAAAAATATAATTACTTATATTTAAAATCAAATAATTATGGGAAAAATTATCTATACAATAAAACGTACCAGTTATACTAATACAACAGATAATATGTAATAATAGTAATAATATAACAAATTGTTACAAAATAAATATGTAATAATAATACAATGTATTATACGAAATAATACGTAATAGTAAAAATAATACAACATATTATTCAAAATGATACGTAATAGTATCGATAACACAACAGATTAATTTCAGAAAGTTTTACTGCACTAAGTTAATTTATAAATATCAAAATCATTTAAATAAATATAAAATTTAGACTTTTAAATCATAGAAAATTCTAAAAAATTGAGAAAAATACAGATACTCTTTTAAAAATAATAATTGAATATTTTAAAATACTAGTAAATTATTTTAACTAGTATTAAAAATTCACGATCATTACAGAAGAATACAATATTTGCAATAATACTCATATCCAAGCTATAAGCTTCAAAAACTTATAAGAATGTAAGCAATATAAAATGACAACTTAATTTACTTTGTCAAATAATTTATTACAAATCATGAAAGATAAGGAGAATTAGAAGGATCATATACTCATCCCAAATAAATATTAAATTTCTCTTAGAGATTCTTATAGTAAATTTTTTTATAGTTGATGTGTTGGATAAATTTAAAGACAAATAACTCAAACAAGTTCATTGAGTGATAAATTTGCTATAAACTTCACTCTTATAAAAATTGATCACATGTCTTTAAGTTTTGCTTTTGTTTAAGAGTTAATTTTAGAAAACTTTCCCTCAACTATAGAGGGCATGAAACCCCCTCCCCCTCCCCCACTCCTCGGGAAAACTATTTAAGACCGAGTAAATCTCTGCTAAGTTTTGGGTGTTTTGTAGATAATCTATCTCAACCTAAAAACTTTTGATTTAACCCCAGTGAACTTTTCTCACTTAAACCTAACCTCTCAAAACTAACATCATTGAGTATTATCTATTATGTGACAAATACTTGACTTGGAAAGACCAAAATATCAAATAATCATAAAAGAATTAGGTTGGCTTTTGCTAGATAAAAGAGGTGATATAGAGGGAAAAAGAATTATAAATTGGTTATGATCATTTTATTATCAGTTGAGAGTTTCTTTTTAATTAAATTGCTTTCTTCAAGAGGATATTTTATCCAAATCACATATCGAAGTTACTATGTTAAGGGGGTTTGTTGATGGAGTTGTAAAAGATTAGGGGAGTTTTTATGATATACGCTATAGTTGAGATGTGTATTCTAAAATTGTACCAAATTTAAGAAGGGTTATCTATAACACCCCACATAGTGAGGGGGTTTTGTCAAATTGAATCAGTTGAGTGGATTTTTTAAGACAATCCCCATAGTTGAGAGGGTTTTTAAAAAAAATAACACTTCTTTTAAATATAGCTTATTTATAATTTGTCCCTCAAAATTTTAATAATTTAATATTAGTCCTTAAACTTATGAGCAATTTTAAAAATTTGTGGGAATCATTGAATATTTAAAATCAAGGAGCTGACATCTAAATAACATTTACATATTTTCTCTTATAGGCATTCTATTAAATATCGACCAATATATTGGTATATCGGCCAATATTATCAGGTTAAAGACTTTATCTCAATAATATTTTATATTATTTTCTATATTTTGTTGATTTTTTTGATATATCGACTGTTATCGAAAATATGGCTGAGATATCCCTTCAAAGATATCGAGAAAATCATGTCATTTTTAATTTGATTGTGGGCTAGGGTTTGGATCGTGTTTGGGAAACAAAATCAAAACTCGCAAAACCCGCAAAGGCCACAATTCTTCTCCCAAATCTCTCCACCCTAGGCTCTCGCAAATCTTAAGCACATATCTTGATGGAAATTCTTATGCTTAAAATTCATTAATATGTTAGATTACATATTACAATGTTATGTTATGTATGAATATTATCTCACATGACACCCAATATTACACACATATCCCTAATTTTTACAACCCAATATCATGGATTTTATTTTTTTCAATATTTATTTGATGTCCAACACTTTGTAGTAGTCCTTCAAAAGCTTCTTCTAAAGTTTTTTAAGTGAAGTATATAATTCTAGAAAATAATTCAAAATCTTGAGACTCATTCAAAATATGATGTTTTAATTTTTCCACATCTCTTCTACTACATAAATATAAGCTAAGCATTTTGCCTCATATTATATGATGGATATTATTTATCAATGGGATCATATACTATTGTTTGTAGATAACAAAGGTTTCAAATCTTCTATAGGCTTAACTGAACTTAAATACCTTGTAGTTTACCAAAATTATACTTGTATACCTCTACTTGTGTCTTGTTGCTCTGTTTTTTAAACTTTAGATAACGTATCTTGATGTGCTTAAATATCGTAATGTTTTCTAAAATTTAATGTTTATACCTTCTATCTTGTTACCTAAACATAAGAATGCTCTTTGTAATTTTCTTATATGCGTTTCATGATATAGTTTTAGGACAATTCTATATTTTCTACTCTTTTCATAAATACTTCATTGACATGCAATTATCTATTAATATATTATTATACATTACTAATAATTAATATGATGTAGAGTTTTATAGTAACGTTGGAAGTTCTAGGGACCAAATTATGCAAACATAAAGTGACATATATATAATATAATTAATTAACAATGATAATTAATTTAGTTTAGTTAGTATTAGAATGTAATATCAAAAGAGAATAGGGGTAATATAGTTCTTGGAAAGTTTTTCCACAACTCACTCTTTTAAAGGGAGTATGATATGATATGATATATATGATGTATCTGGCAATTAGCATTAGAGAAGTAGAGTTCCAGCAAAAAATTCCAGGTGTTATGTTTAGAGCATGTGTATCGAAACTTAATACATCCTAAAATTCTGATTTGCTCATTGTGCTGGTCCAGGTGTTATGTTTACTGAATAGCCTACTTCTTTCTAAGACGCCATTTACCGATGTTTTCTTGCGCAAGAGAACACCAGTTCAAGATGTACTTAGTTCCATCGGGAATTTCTTGCATGTTAAACATGTGAGTTGCTTATTGGCCGCGGGCCAGGCTTTAAGTTCACTAAAGAGTCTATTGGTTTTAAAGACGCCATTTAGAGACATTTTCTCGCAGAAGAAACGATAAGAATGCTCTTTGTAATTTTCCTATATGAGTTTCATGGTATAATTTTAGGAGAATTCTATGTTTTCTATTATTTCCATAACTACTTTATTGACATGCAATTATCTATTAATATATTATTATACATTACTAATAATTAATATGATGTAGAGTTTTATAGTAACGTTGGAAGTTCTAGGGACCAAATTATGCAAACATAAAGTGACATATATATAATATAATTAATTAACAATGATAATTAATTTAGTTTAGTTAGTATTAGAATGTAATATCAAAAGAGAATAGGGGTAATATAGTTCTTGGAAAGTTTTTCCACAACTCACTCTTTTAAAGGGAGTATGATATGATATGATATATATGATGTATCTGGCAATTAGCATTAGAGAAGTAGAGTTCCAGCAAAAAATTCCAGGTGTTATGTTTAGAGCATGTGTATCGAAACTTAATACATCCTAAAATTCTGATTTGCTCATTGTGCTGGTCCAGGTGTTATGTTTACTGAATAGCCTACTTCTTTCTAAGACGCCATTTACCGATGTTTTCTTGCGCAAGAGAACACCAGTTCAAGATGTACTTAGTTCCATCGGGAATTTCTTGCATGTTAAACATGTGAGTTGCTTATTGGCCGCGGGCCAGGCTTTAAGTTCACTAAAGAGTCTATTGGTTTTAAAGACGCCATTTAGAGACATTTTCTCGCAGAAGAAACGATCAGTGCAGATTTATAAAGAAGAAAATGAGATTTTAGCCACTGAAGTTTGGAACAATGCTTTTCAATTCAAGCCTATAAGTGTGAAGATCCTTGAGAACATGGTCACAAACAAGGTTGTGTATGCCGAAGCAGGAAGTGATTTTGTAGATGTTCTCCTCTCCTTCCTTACCTTTCCACTCGGATCCATAGTGAAGCTTATGAATTGTCAGTCCTCTCTCGGTTGTGTCGACAACTTGTATGGCAGTGTGGAGCTTTTGGCTACTACTGGTGATTTCATCAAATCCGATGAGTGCAAAAACATGTTATTGTCTCCCAAACTCTACCCACATTTTAATTGTGACGATCAGATTCTGCGTATTGGAACAAAACTGTCAACGGATTGCACTGTTCTAGGATGTGAAACCTGCTATAATGCAGGGTCTAATGAGTGCAAACATAATATAGGTCGTGTGATATTAAATGAAATAAATCCAAAGATGCCAAACGCAGTCACAAGAAGTGGAGGGGGATATGCAGAGAGGGCACTGAGATTCATGGTTACCGATGAGATGGCTGTCGCACCAGTGTCACATATTTCTGTAATTGGTGCAATCAAAGAGCTCAGAGTTCCTGTCAGCATCCTATTTGAGAATGAGGTTAAACTTGGAGAAAGAGAGGTGAGAACTTTTTCTTAACCTTCAAAAGGTTTTTTGTCTGAAAATTCAATGCTATGAAAATCTTGCTGACTAATCTTTGCAATTATATTCCCTTTGATGCAGGTTTTGAATCTGTTGAAAGCTTGTCTGATCTCTTCCAATCCCTTGAGCCAGATATTCTCTCATAAGTCATTCTCTCATAAGAAGCTGAGGAGGATAGCCTAAGCTTTTAAACATATTACTAAACGTACCTACTTTTGTTTTGCTCTACCTCAAACTTTCAGTCTATCAGGTTACTGTTTTTCAAAACTATGGATTGCAATCTAGTAGTTTAATTAAGGAGATATCATACAAGTTCTTACCTCCTAGATCGAAAGTACGGCTCATAATTATTTTTACTATATATATTTTGCACTTGCTCAGAATCTTTATTATTGAATCCTATTCGAACGTGGTATGAAGATGCTATTAGGAGGCAAAACTTTTTTTGGCTTTGTTAAACATCAATTTAGATCTTTCTAGAAAAGTAATCCAGTTCTCTATATCTATGGTCTAGAGTAGAAGGGCATAGTTTTATGATGCAATAGTGTTCTTTTTATTTTTGTGATTATTTGAATGTATTTTAAGCAAATTCCACAAGATCTAAAGCTACTTAGGGCTAGGTCGGTATTGCTTTTCTTGGTGTGCTTCTGCTTATTTTTACAAGAAGCAACAAATAATGGTGATTGGTGAATTTTTTTTGGCATATTTATTAAAATTACTTCTGCTTTCAAGGAGGTGCTTTTAATCTAAAAATGCGTTTAAAGTAGCTTTTGTTTTTTAGTTTATATGCCACATGTACCTTTTATCTATTAACGATGATAATTAAGCATAGTTCTAATAAATACCTTAGCTGCTTTTTAAGCAGCTTTTGATATTTAATTACCAACCAATTATTTTTAGCAGCTTATATAAGTTGCTTTTATAACCCAGTTGAAAATAAAAAGCATTTCCCAAGAGTCGTAAAGTTCACGATATACTTACTGGACTACATTGTGTGTCGCCTCGCTGGGCGGTGCAGCACACGGTGATCCTCTAAAGCACTACTCCTTAGCTCCTACAACGCTGAGTATTGTTCTCGCCGTCTGTTTAGCAACAAGGCAAAATAGGGGCGGCCATAGGGACCAGAGGAAGCTAGGGTTGGGGGAGGGGTGTCGCCCTCTCTCTGCTCCCTAGGCGAGTTTGAGTTCACAATCTTCCACTTGGTCTCGACAATAATCCTTCCGCAGGTTCACCTATGGAAATATTGTTACAACTTCTCATTTTTCTCTAAAGGATAAGGTTTAGTAAACTTCTCGTAATGTCACAAGTGTCAAACTTCCCCTATCGCCATGATCTGAACATAGAGTTGATGACTCACACTTAATAAGAATTGAAGACCAACAATTGCAATGATCTATCCATATCAAGATGAAATTTTCAAGGATTACCCGGGCTGTCAACCAATGCTATAAACTCGTTGAATACATCAGTGTAGCGCGCGTGTAGCCCAGAACATCTAAGGGCATCACAGACCTGTTACCGTCTCAAACTTTTGTGGCCTAAATGGCCATATTCCCTCTAAAAAGCGGGTCGTGGAGGGATGCCTCCGCCTAGCTATTTAGTAAGCTGAGATATTATTCGCTAATGGTATTAACTAGACAAATTGCTCCACCAACTAAGAACGACCATGCACAACCACTCGTAGAATCAAGAAAGATCTCTCAATATGTCAATCTTTACTATGTCTGGACCTCGTAAGTTTCCCCGTCTTGAGTCAAATTAAGCCGCAGTTTTCACCCTTAGTACTGGTGCCCTTCCATCAATTCCTTTAAGTTTTAGCCTAGCGATCATGCTGATGGGAAATATAAGCATAAAAACAGATCCAAAGTAGTACAGAACAAACCATACAGGAATGAAAGAAAAGAGCAGAAAGATAGAAGCATCATATTAAAACACTTCAAGTTTGAAACTATGCCCCACCTACGGTAGCATTGGGTCTACAAAGTATTTCCGAGGATGAGACGGCTGCAGGCCAAAGAAGCGCTCTCTTCTTGTGAACAACATGACTACTTCTTCAGTTTGCCAGAATCTCCAATACTTAACAGTTTATAGAATTATTGAAAGAGGAAGAAGACGAGAGATTTTGTTTTTCTGTGTGTTTCAAATGATCAGAAGAAACTCTTTCATAAGGTTCATGGGAGACAAAGATTTGTATTCTAGTTATTGCAACTTTTGTAATGTCTACAGTAAAACCTATTCAATCATTGTAATGTTTGTAACGTCCAAACGTTCAACTGGTTTTAAGTGAGCACATGCAAAACGTTTAAGCTCGTTTAAAGACAGCACGCGCCGGACCGCTCGCTTGCTCGCACGCTCGCTTATATACCAACAAGTATATAATACTAATACCTTTGTTATACTATATATAACACGTGTGTTAATTTGAACCAACTAAAATGCATTTAATTAGCCACTGTGGGACTAAAACTCACATACTACTTATTAAACACATTTTAATTTTTATCTATGGAATCCGATCATTAAATGATATCTTTCCATAAAAAAAACCTCTAAGATTCATTTATTTCAACACATACTCGACCCCAAACCCAAAAATTTGATTTCTCATGAGGTGCGAGCAGAGTCCTAAAAGCAATATCCGTTGATTCCTGGTTGGCATCATTAATAGTTGAGACTAGGATGATATCTGATCGTCTTTGAGCACCCAAATTTTATTCTTAATTAATGAAAATATTTTTAGCAAATGCTTTTGCAGTTGTTCATCTTTCATAAGGTAACATTCCATTGCATAATATAAAAAAGACACAGCTCTTACTTCTCTTTAGTTTCTTTCCTTATTTATAGCAACCAAGTTTAAAAGTCTAGCCAACTTTCAAATCAAAAGTGTTTGTCCTAAACATCCATTAATTCTCACTCAGATTTAGTGGAATATATCCAATCTGATGTTCCTCAGAAGAAGACACGTCCGACTTCAAGTCAAGAAGTCGTTGTCCTATGAATCGACGTATGATAATGTTGCTCCTCCCTCTCTCTCCCTCTCTCTTCAATCTCCACTTAAAAGGGAACGTGGCCAAAATATACAATTAGCGATAATTTGAGGAAGCAGCATCCAATAGGATCGATAAGTATCATTAAATATTTTGTGGAAATATACAAATTCGTAAGGATTGAAGTGACTAAAGTAATTACAACTCTTGTTTTTGGTCCTTCAGGATTAAATGGTAGAAGAAAAGCGCAGAATGTGAATCTTCATCTATCTTTCCTTATATGAGAGGGGTTAAGAACTAACTATAAACTTGAGTATTTATTGAAAAAATATTAAGTTATGCTTTTATAAAGAGACAAAAAGAAGGAAAGTTACATAAAAATGGTTATTTACAGATGAATCCCCTGCATAATTGAGGTATAGCTACGTCGCACCCATGTTCTACACTGTGAACATAAGCGCCCGTGTTTTCCGTCAGTCTTTAACTCCCATGTAGGGAAGGCAATTTCTGCCCATACCCATTTACCCATCCGGCCCGCCTATTACTTAGCCCGCCTAAAACCCACCCATTTAATTAAATGGGTCTAATTGGGCGGGTTCATTTTAATTCACATTAAACGGGTACTAAATGGGCGGTGTATATTTGCCCATTTGCCCGCCCACGTTCCCAAAACAAAAACCTAGAAGGCTAGAACCCGTCACCCTGAATCTCTTCCTCTTTCTCTCTGACTCTGACCCGGCATCACTCTCTCCCTCATCATCTCCCTCTGCGATCGCGGAGTCAATCCCGAAGCCCTAGCCGCCCTCGTCCGCGAGCTCTCTTGGTCATCTTCAACTGCAATCTTGGTCATCAAAGGGTAAGCTAGAATCTTCTTTTCCCCTCCTTTTGATTTTATTAGGGAAGGCAATTTTTGCTGACACGTACCGCCGACGAAGGCCACCGTAAAAGGTGAGGCTTTTTTTGGTTGTCTGGTTTGAGTTCGATTTTATTTGGGGCTTTTCAAATTTTTGAACCATATTTGATTTCCTTCTTTCTTTCTTCTTTGATTTTTCTTTGTTAATGGAGGTGTGTGATGATTTTTTGTTAATGGAGGTGTGTGATGATTTTTCCTTGCCCATCTTAACTTAACTATAAAAACCTCAATTCTTGCCGGTAGCCGCTCTCTTCAACCCTTGCATCCCTCTTCATCGATTACCCGCCGCGATCATGGTAACTTTTTTTTCTTTGAATTATTTTTGTGATGATGATAATGTTTCTCATTCTAATTCTTTTCGATTTGTTCTTGTTTGATTCGATGTCTAGGTGAAGTATTCGAGAGAACCCAATAACCCTACTAAGTGTAAGTCCAATCCTTTGATTTCACATTTCCCCCCCTCATTTTATTTATTTATACACGCAGATCTAAGACATTGAATTAGTTTTCTTCATGGTTTTTTTTATTAGTCGATTTTTTAGAAAAAAAAATTTGGTTTTAATTTGTTTTGCAGCGTCAAAGGCCATGGGTCGGGACTTGAGAGTCCACTTCAAGGTAACTGCTTTGGCGAATTTATTCTTTCATTTCAGTTTTTGATGCCGTTTATTTCCTCGTCGTTTATTAGTTAGAATTTAGTTCGATGTGTTGTACTATGTAATTTACATGCTTTTTCACTTCAACTATTGTTCGTCAATGTCTCGCTTTCAACATCATGTTTGAATTAAAACAAATTTACATCAAAATGCTACTTATTTTTAGTTGTCATTACAGCAGCTCACGAAATATATCCTGTAACTACCATGTTGCAGTTTCCTTTTAGCTGTTTATTTGGAGAATAAAATATGAACGAGTAGAAATCTCTTTAGGTCTTTTAATCTGAGGTGCGAGGAGCATGTATGCGAAATCAGTAGTGTTCTCATTTTTCATCTAGCGGATGCTTGGTAAATCGAAATGGCAGTGAAAGTGTGAAAATGATCATTTTTAAGTTATGAGAAACATTTTTTTCTTTAGGCCTGAGCCTGAAGTGTCACGTTCACAATTTTCCCCCCCTCGTTGTTTCTAAAGCTTCACTTTCACATTTTTCATAACCTCAATTTAGATTTATGTTTTGAATTGCCAAGTATCCCCTTAGTTCAATAAGGCACTCGTGTATGACATTCATGTATATGCATTTGTTATTAGGAACTTACAAATGTCTCCATTTGTATTTATTTAGACACAAAATGTAGTCTGTCATCCTTTGTTTTGATAGCGGTTCTTTATTGATCTGTTGGAGGCCCTTTCTTTCAACTAGATGTTGTTCCCATATTTTGATAGTTCATTCAGTCTTGTTGAATGTGTATTAAATACATTACAGATTACAGATGCATTCTAACACATTATCTATCCATCATATATCACGCACCTTTGAAGATGTAGAAATAAGGATGAAGGTTCATGATGTGTGTTTTTAGTGGACACATTTTTTGTGTTTTACCTTCATATAAGCAAATAATAAGAGCTTGGTTGATGTTTTATTACACACATGCTATTTTGCATCGATGACAGACGTGGTCTTCATATTGGCATCTTAAATGCATATGCAACGAGCCAACGACATATACAAACTACTATCCTGACACATTCCAACGCATCTAATATGCGTCTTGCCTTGAATGAGCTCAAAGATGGATAATTGGATTAGAGAGGATTGGTGTTTCATTATAATGGTTTTGTATATATAGAGTATGAGTTTGGATATGCAATTCATTACTAGCAATGAAACACTCGAGAGTTACATTATCTCTTATCCTAATTTTTCGTATATATATTTTTACGCCTCTTGAATTACATATATGACTGTTCAATTCTTAACAATATTAACAAACAATCGTGAGTTTTGTTACTATGATCATATATAGCTGTGAAACAAACAGCTGCTATTGTGATTAACTTATGATAAAGTAGAACACCATGTTGTTAATATTGTTAGGAATTGAACAGTCATATACATGCTTAATTTCATAGAACGCATATAAAATCCATTGTACTGTGGTACATATAACAAGGAACACCAAAAATCCAACTCTCTCTCTTCTCTCTCTCAGCCCTCGTGTAAATAAACTTGACTCCTAGGCACCATGTCTTTCAAATCATCTGAACAGTACCCTTGATTCAATAACAGGGTGTTATCATTGTCACCTTGCATCTGCCGGCTACCTTACTATTATCAAAAGTAATATCATGCCTCTTCTACTTTGCTTTCATGAAGTTTGGTGTCTTCCCTGAGTCTAAAGTTATAGGTTATATACGTCATAACCTGAAGAAAAAAAGCAGGCGCTTGTTTTACCTGTGAACAAGCATCTCATAACCTTCAGGAATATCATTCTCATTGTTATTGGGTGAAGCGGCTGTTTCCATGTCCCTTGATTCAATAAGAGGATGTTAGCATATCACTGAGTATCTGCCGACTACCTTACTATTATCAAAAGTAATATCATGCCTCTTCTACTTTGCTTTCATGAAGTTTGGTGTCTTCCCTGAGTCTAAAGTTATAGGTTATATACGTCATAACCTGAAGAAAAAAAGCAGGCGCTTGTTTTACCTGTGAACAAGCATCTCATAACCTTCAGGAATATCAAGTATCCTAGACGGAAATTTCCGTCTAGAATATTTGGTTATTTATTAAAAAAATAAAAAATAAAAATACCGTCTAGAATACTATTATAGACGGAATATTCCGTCTAGAATACTTTATTCTAGACGGAATATTCTAGACGGAAAATTTCCGTTTAGTTTAATACATTCTAGACGGAAAAAATTCCGTCTAGAATGTTCCGTCTAGAATACTCGATTTTCTACTAGTGTTAATGTGTTGTATCCTTTGTACATAAAAACACAAGAAAAACTGAAAAATCTCTGTCCCTCCCTTCCTCCTTCACTGAATAATCTTAAGTCCTGGGCATCATACTCTGAATAATCTTAAGTCTGGGGCACCATGCAATGCTGTATTTTTTTCTTCTTAAAATAATCTGAACACCCTTGACAGCAAAGTAAGAAGATCTTAGCATACTTGAGCTTTGGTTTATTTTTGTTTCAGTATCTGGTGACTAACTTGCTATTATCAAAAGTAATACCATGCCTCTACTATTGTTTCATAAAACATAGGCATCTGTCCAGGGATCTCTACATTTGTATATTTTGTATGCCATATTGTTTCATAAAAGTTAGTTCAAACCTTGTTAATTTGGCTTACATATTTTGGACTTGTTGAACATATCTTAATGATGGTCACATATAATTTGGCTTAATTAATTACGAAACTTTTTGAGTGTGGTTATGTATTCATTTTCGGATAATTCTTTGCAATGCGAACAATAGAATCTAGAATATATATAAACCTCATTTTCTCAGAGATAATCCAAGTTTAATGTAATCGGAACTAATTTTAGCTTGATTATGTACCGTAACACACTAGCTTGGGCCCCAGAGTTTAGAGTGCTGGGCATGAGGCCTATATGTCCATTTCCTATTACTATTTTAGTAGCTTATTACCCTCTAAAAAGGCATTTTTTATTTTTATTAGCAATATTGTACCATTTTGTTTTACGATAATGTGTGATGGTGACGGGGATAATGACTTGCTGTTTCTTGTTATATTATTAGCGACACATGAATTTTTACACCCACCTTTTGTATGCAGTTGATCAAGAACTTGCTGTTTCTTGTTATATTATTAGCGACATGAATTTTTACACCAACCAATTACTGCTTTTATATTATTTTGTGCCACTTTATTATGTGTTTGCTACCCAAAATTGATGTGCTATTAAATTATTTTTTCAGCGATCATGTCTTTAAATGATCAATTTAGCATCCATGATGATGGTAGTGATGATGAGAGTACTTCTAAACGTAAAAGAAGACAAACATCAAAAGTTTGGGATCACTTTACGAATTTATCTACCGATAATGATGAGAAAACTAAAGTTCAATGTAATATGTGTAATCATATTTATGTTGGTGGTCATGGCACTAAGACAATGTTGAGGCACATGGATTCTTGCCCGAAAAGGAACTTAGATGAGGCTGATTCTTCCAGGAAAAGTATGCCACTAAATCAAGAAAAATATAGAGAAATGCTTGCTAGAGTAATTGCATTGCATGGTTATCCATTCACTTTTGTTGAACATAAAGGAAACCGTGAGTTGCATAGTTTTCTAAATTCTGAAGTCAAGCATATTTCAAGGAACACTGCTAAAACAGATTTGATCAAGTTGTACAAGAAAGAGAAAGGAAATCTTAAACAAGCTTTAAAGCTAGTTCCTAGTAGAATTTGTCTAACCACAGATTTATGGACTTCTTCCACCTCTGACTACTATATGTCTCTCACTGCACATTATGTTGACGACTGTTGGATATTGCAGAATAAGATATTAGCTCTATCTCATGTTTCACCCCCATATAGTGGAGCAATTTTAGTAGAGAAGTTATTTCATTTGTTGAAGGATTGGGGTATTGAAAAAAGAATTTTTACTGTTACCTTGGACAATGCATCATATAATGATGTTTTCATGAGAATTTTAAAATATCATCCAGTTTTAGAAGATCATTTTGTTAGTAATGGTGATTTTTTACTTTTTTGCCATCAAGTGAAGAATGGGTAAATGTTGAAAAAATTACAAGGTTTTTAAAACATTTTTATGAAGTGTCCACTCTTTTTTCTGGAAGTAAATATCCAACTGCCAACTTATATTTTGGTGGAGTGTTTAAGATTCAAAAATGCATAATGGAGGAGATGAAAAGTGATGATCAAGATATAAAATCCATGGCAAATGATATGAAAATAAAATTTGATAAATATTGGGAATGCTACAGTGTTATTTTGTCATTTGTAGTCATTTTGGACCCCCGATACAAGGTGAAGTATGTAGAGTTTTGCTTTGAGAAATTGGGAGTTAGTTCTGATTATGTGTTGACTATCTTAGAGAAACTGAGAAAGCTTTACAAAGAATATGAGCGAGCATCTCTAGATACATCTGTAGCTGAGAGCAGTGGTGAAGAGAACTTTGGAGATATCCCTAATGATGAGATGGTTGAGTTTGAACTGTTTGAGAGTCAACTATATTTAGCAAGTAGGTCCAAGTCTCAGTTAGAAGAGTATTTAGATGAAAAATTAGTCAGTTGGAAGAAAAATGATCATTTGAATGTTCTCGAGTATTGGAAAGGCGAATGCGAGAAGCGTCCTCAATTGTCGATGATGGCTCGAGATATATTGAGTATTCCTATTACTTCGGTGGCCTCTGAATCGGCTTTCAGCATTGCGGGACGTGTGCTTGACAAGTATCGAAATCGTCTTCTTCCGGAGAATGCTGAAGCTCAAATTTGTACTGGTTCTTGGTTAGACGGTATTCCTTGTGAGTTGCCTTCTTTTTTTTTCCATTATTGCTTTTTTGTATTGTTGTGGGCTACATATTTTATCACAAAATATTAATATTATTTTTTCTTATTAAATGCAGCTCTGGCAGACATTGAAGAAGGAAATTTATTAGTACATGATTTCAGTAATCTAGAGGTTTTTGAATCGGAAGGCGAAAGTGATTAAGGTAAGATTTTACTTGTTCCATGAAATTAGTGTACATCATAATAATAGTATGATGATAGTTCTAACGACATCCCAAATAGGTTGCAGATTGACAGGTATTCTCCTATTAGCGACTTATGTGCATATCACAGCTGCGTATGATCCATATCTGTCATATTTTACCCTCAGAAACTATCAGGCAAGAACAAAAATAATAATTTCTAGACTTGTTTAATTAGTGTTTCATTGCTAGCTATTTGGGATTATCTTTACATGGTGATGATGAGTAGTAACAAGAGGATCACTTGTTTAATTTCTTTTGTAGTCAAGGCTAAGGAGCAGCACTCCATCTACTATTAAAAGGAATATTTCTAGACTTTCATACATCTCTACTTTCCTAGACATAATTGCACATCAATTGATTGTTAATTATAACAATGATTAGTCCCTTCTTTTTAATGTATGTTAATATGAAACATACTCTTTTCCTCGGTACATAACAACTATTAAAAACTTGGCCTAGCAATAGCTAAACATTGCCCCATTTTCTAGATACCTGCAGCTGCTCAACCCTAGTTAGCTAACTCCAGAATTCTCTTCCATAGTGCATGTTTACATCTTCAATCCAAATATGCAAGCACAAACCTAACCTGCATGCCCCAAAATGTGAAAAGTCACAGTAAACTTTGTTAAGGACACATGTGCCATTATAATAAAAGACAAGGACAATCAGTGTTTTACTTTTATCAAAGGGCAAATGCCAGTGACAGTGCCATTTACTTGAAAATTTGTATAGTGCAATTTACTTCAAAAAGTATATGGAATCTGATATATGCAACATAGTTTCACTCTCGTGTCTTGATTTTAAACAATTATTGTGTTCACTGTCCACCATCTTGTCTCCATTTTAAAGCATCATATCCATTAATGATAGTATTATTCACTCGCCGCTTGATCAGGCTGCTGTTTCCGACTTGAGAAAGGCACATAAATTTTCTCCAGAAGATGAGACTATAGCAGAAGTTTTCAGGTATGGACTCCCTTTTGTGGGTGGAATACTTTTATGTACTATAAATGCACTATTTTTGTGATATCAGTATGTGTGATTCTTGTGTAATGATTTAAAGTGTGAATACTTTTATGTACTTGTATGTTCAACTAATCCTACAATTAATTAGTATATGAGTAAGCAAAATTCTTGTGTAATGATTTAAAGTGTGAATACTTTTATATACTGGTTAACTGACTGTTGATGCTGCAGAGAACCTTGAATTTGTTCAATAAATGGCACAGACGAATTCTGACGAGAAAGCAAGCGCTGCTGCTGAAGCTGTTGCTGCTGCTGCTGCTGAAGTTGCTGAAGCTGTTGTTTCCTGGTCTTTTCTTTCTTCTGTCATGATCCTGTTCATGCCTGAACATTTGAAAGATGAGAAATAAGTAGACTATGGTTGTGCTACTATTTTGTTTATAGACGAACTTACTACTCTTCTAGTTTATCAAGTAATTAAGTAGATTATCCTTACTAATCGTGATCGTGTTGCTGATAGTTATGATGTCGTTTATATCAAGTTATTGATCTTATACAGATCCTTGCATACCTTGTGTTTTCTATCTTAATTCATTTAAATATACTCGCAATTTTGTTGTTATTGATCTTTTGGTTTTTGGTTTGGAAATTTGAGGTTAATTTTGCAAATGTGTGAGGTCTGTACTTTTATCCAGGCTTGTAAATGGTTCAATCATGAATTTGTCTGCATTTGTTTATCTTTGTTTATGTTCCTATCTTTGTTAGTATATGTTCCTATCTTTGTTAGTATTCTATCAAAAGCCTCAACAAGTTTGCAAAAAGCTCCCAAAAAGTTTACAAAAAGCCCACAATAGTTTAAAAAAAACTCCTAAAAGTTTACAAAAAACACCCCAAAAGTATTATACATATATATGTACTATAGTTAAATGGGCAAATGGGCGACCCGTTTATTAAATGGGCGGGCAAAAACCCGCCCATTTAAATAATGTTAAATGGGCCATAAATGGGTAAATGGGCAAAACATGCCCGCCCATTTATGGCCCGCCCATTTAAACCCATACCCACCCATTTAACATCTCTACTCCCATGGAAATCTCGTGTGACAATTGGGAAATGTTTAACTCTGACCACCATATGATCTTTATATCTTCATTGGATTCTAGAAACTAGCAGGAAAAAGCTTATTGTTGAGAGCTGGAAGGTGCATGTTTGTTTATAGTTAGTGATCGAGCACAGAGAGGAGGGAAAAAACAACATATTTTTGAGGGGGCTTCGATAATAGGTAAGAGTTTTTTTGATTATGTGTTGTTGTTTTCTCAAGGAGAACGATCCCTTTTTTATAGGGGCCAAATCCATCATCTCCACCCCTCATAACCGCCCTTGAGAGATTTTCTCTCAACAAACCCATTTTTCACATTTACCATGTTTTTCACAACTTGAGAGCTGTTGATTTGGTCACACAAGACCAAGTCAGAGTTACATCGCCCACTTGACCAAATCAACCAAGTGACATGCCTCCCACTATCCATGAGATAAGATGTTTCTCCTTACCATTACTCTCACTATTCGTAGAGAGTAACTCTTATTTCATTATTTATGAAATTTTACTTGAACTTATTTATTCCTAAGTCTCATCAAACTTACATGTTTGATAAAAGATTCTGCTAGTATTCCTTTTGTCAAAGGATCAACAATCATATCTGTAGTAGGGATATAAGTCACTTTGACTTCTTCCTTTTCTACAATATCTCAAATATACTGATACTGGATCACAATATGTTTTTATTTGAAGCTATTCACGCCATTATTAATTAAGCTAATTGCTGCTTGATTATCATAATAAATTTCAATAGGTCCTTCTAACAGTTTGAGATCTAGATCAATCAAGAACTGTCTTATCCAGACAGCATGTGTAGTTGCCATACTGCAAGCTATATATTCAGCTTTACTAGTAGAAAAATGAACAAACTAGACGGAACAACCTAGATGAAAAAAAATTTCTTCTAGTTTGAGGCAAACTAGATGGAAATATTTCCGTCTAGGTTGCTCCGTCTAGTTGATGCATTCTAGATGGAACTTTCCGTCTAGAATGCCAAACTAGACGGTTTGTATTTTTTAAAATTTTTATTAGCAACCTAGGCAGAATTTTCGTCTAGGTTGCGTTAACAAAAATACAAAACCTAACCCTAACCCTTCCCCCTCTCCCCCCGCCACCCCTAACCCTCCCTCTCACTCTCTGTCTTGTTGGAAGAATTTAGAAATCCATTTTTCATATTGTGAGTCGACTCATACATGCACATGAGTCGACTCATCAGGTTGAGTTGACTCATGCCTGTCATGAGTCGACTCACGAAACCCAGTCGTTTTGTCACAAGTTTCTGACGAGTCGACTCATGACTTAACTCACCTCAGTCATGAGTCGACTCATCGATGGTTTCTGTTTTGTATGAAGTTTCTGACGAGTCAACTCACCTCAGTCATGAGTCGACTCATGTCGGGTTTTCAGCCTGTTTTGGTTTTCCTGTTTCGTTTAGGATTGATGTTTGATATAAATATCAACACGAGTTTAGGGTTTTGAGAACCAACTCAGAGGGTCGTTTTGAGCAGCTATTCACAGGGAATAGAGCATACTTTGTAGGAGAGATTGTGAGAGAATTGAGAGCTTGGTTCTAGGGTTTATTAGTGAGATTTTGTAACCCTATTTTGTATTTCTCTTTCTCTATTAGTAAAATCTTTCCCCCTTGCCCCGTGGACGTAGGCAATCGCCGAACCACGTAAATCTCTTGTGTTATTTGATGATTGTGCTTGTTTATTTTGGTTGTGATCTCTCTTGTTTGGCTAGTGTGTGATTCGACCGCTTTCGCCGCGCACAAGTGGTATCAGAGCTTCGGGTTCGGCTTGAGGCTTGTTTGAAGGATTCTCTGAAATGATTCCTATTTGAAGAGTTAGATCGACAACATGGGTGAAGCAAGCACATCAACATCGTCTCTTACGAAGACGATACATAGTTTGAGCATCAATAACATGAAGATCGATGTTCCGAAGTTTGATGGCAAGATCAATTTTGGTTTGTGGATGTGCCAGGTGATGGATACGTTGGACGCTCAAAATTTGGAAGAGACTCTTGAGTTGCAAGAGAAACCTGCTGATATAGAAGATAAGGTTTTGAAGAAGATGAATAGTAGGGCGTGTGGAGTTATTCGGTCATGCTTAACGCTGGATCTTATTTATGATGTGATGAACGAGACGTCGACGAAGAAGATGTGGGAAACACTCAATGAAAAATATCTTACTAAAAGCATTGAGAATCGGCTTCACTTGAAGAAGAGGTTTTACCAGTTCAAGATGAAAAGGGAAGTTTCCATCAGGGAGCATGTTAACAACTTCACGAAGCTACTTTCAGACATGGCCAATGTGAATATCATGATTGAGGATGAAGACAAGGCGATGCTACTTTTGTGTTCGTTGCCTGACGATGATTATGGTACATTTGTTCTCACTATAATTAATGGAAGAACGATCGTTAGCTACAAGGAGGTGACCTCAGCATTGGTGAATTATGAGTTAAGGAAGAGTGTTGATGAGTCCTCCGAGAAGGCATCGGGAGATACAATAGTAGTTCAAGGTCGTGGTTCAAACCGAAGCAGGAGGTCGCAATCTAGAAGTGCACATCGTGGGATTCGTAGGAATCAGTGTGTGCTTTTTGTAAAGAGGATGGACATTGAAAAGTTGAATGCCCAAAGTTAGATCGAGCCGAGAAGAATAAGGGGAAAGCTGTACAAGCTTCAGAGGTGAATGTTGTCAAGACTAGTGGCCACAATTTGGATTTGGATTCTTCGGGCTTTTTGTTGTCTGCACTACCGTCAGTTTGTGTTACCAACTCTACAGAGTGGATGTTAGATTCGGGTGCTTCTTACCACGTTTTCCCTAGGAGGGATTGGTTCTCTAGCTTTTAGAAGTTAGAAAGAGAGGATGTTGTGCTCATGGGTAATGGACATGCATGATCTATTGGTGGTATTGGTATCGTTCGGATTAGGATGAGTGACGTGATGATGCGAGAGTTGGATGATGTAAGGTTCATTCCACAATTGAAGATGAACATCATTTCACTTGGAGTTTTGGAGGCAGAAGGCTATAGGATGACCTTGGTGGATACATGCTTGAAGGTCACATTGGGGTCCATGATTGTGATGAAGGGCGTCAGAATAAGAAATTTGTATTACTTGCTCGGAAGCACGACGATTGATAGGGAACTGACGACTTCATCAGATTCGGCTAGACTGTGGTGTTGTTTGATGCTGGGTTATTTGATTGGTAATGCCGTGTATAGGTTGTTGATGAGTATTTTGACCTACAGTTTGAAGTCCTATGAACCCATTGGTATGAGCAAGAAGACCGGGGTGGAGTTTGGTACTTCTATCCATCATTTGATGGGTCTTCTGAGGGATGTTCATTCAGACATTTGGGGACCTTCCAAGGGAGCATCATTGGGAGGTAATATGTATGTGATTTCTGTAGTTAGGGATTGTTCTAGACATTGGTGGGTTGCAACCATGTCCCGTTGGTGTGAATTCTTAGAAGTCTACAACAATTGGAAGAAGTGTGTTGGCAAAAAGGTAACCCGACGTTCAGTTTATGGTAGGGGTTCTTTCTTGCGTTTGTGCCAAGCTCAAGGTAATTGGAGACACTTCATTGGTGTGAAAACTTTAAGGCGACGTGATGAGATGGCAGATTTGGGGAGCTGTTCCTTTCTGGAGGAGGATCGACATTTGATGTCGAGCATTGGTATTGGTGTGCGGGCTACGATATGTTTGGGCCATCTTATGCATTGGTTGCCGACTGCTGCATGTAGAGATTTTGGATCTGGTGGAGCTGCTTCAGATTTTGGTTGGCGTCGGATATTTGGTTACCCAGCACTTTGTCACATCGAGGATGTGAGATTTGATCTGATTGCACGTTTGGGATTCAGAGGCTTGTTTGGTTATTATTTGGGAGCTTCTGATTTCGTTCTGAGTAGGTATGTCATATTTGACTCTTGGCAGGTGAAGAGTGGTGATCAGATCTTTAGGATATCACAAAGGGTGCAGAGTGATGTTACTCCACGTTGGGTGGAGACTCCAGATCATACTACATCATTTGTGATTCCAGCTGATGTGACATAGATTGGGAATCGTGTTGATTTGGATGCAGATGATAGGTTGATCGATTCTAGTGCAGCTGATAGATGGAGTCTGGATATGGCCATTGGTTCATCTCAGGTGGAGATGTTTGGATTGTTTCAGTTTGGAGCCATTGAAGGTGCTATCAGCCATAGACTTGATTGTGATATTGGAGAAGGATTGCGAACTCTTCTAGTGGATTGAGACCTTTAGAGGCCATTTGGTGAACTGCATGAGGCTTGATTCCTTGGGCAAGAGGATACGTAGGCAGCCTTTATGATGTAGCCGTTTTGGATTCTGTTTTGGATTAGTTGTTTTGATGGGGGGAGATTGTTTGAACTCTCATTTGAATTCCCGACTTGTTATGGATTGAGTCTGTTGCAATGAATTGTTTCACGGCATCCTGGACGCAACAAGTGGGATGTTTGTGGATACTTTGGTGTCGGATCAGTTTAGGAGAAACTTCGCTGAGGTAGAGAATTGTTGGAAGAATTCAGAAATCCAGTTTTTAGATTGTGAGTCGACTCATACATACACATGAGTCGACTCATCAGGTTGAGTTGACTCATGCCTGTCATGAGTCGACTCACGAAACCCAACCGTTTTGTCACAAGTTTCTGACGAGTCGACTCACCTCAGTCATGAGTCGACTCATCGATGGTTTCTGTTTTGTATGAAGTTTCTGACGAGTCGACTCACCTCAGTCATGAGTCGACTCATGTCGGGTTTTTAGCCTGTTTTGGTTTTCCTGTTTGGTTTGGGATTGATGTTTGATATAAATATCAACACGAGTTTAGGGTTTTGAGAACCAACTCAGAGGGTTGTTTTGAGCAGCTATTCACAGGGAATAGAGCATCCTTTGTAGGAGAGATTGTGAGAAAATTAAGAGCTTGGTTCTAGGGTTTATTGGTGAGATTTTGTAACCCTATTTTGTATTTCTCTTTCTCTATTAGTAAAATCTTTCTCCTTGCCCCGTGGACGTAGGCAATTGCCAAACCACGTAAATCTCTTGTGTTATTTGGTGATTGTGTATTTTGGTTGTGATCTCTCTTGTTTGGCTTGTGTGTGATTCGACCGCTTCCGCCGCGCACAACAATTGGTATCAGAGTTTCGGGTTCGGCTTGAGGCTTGTTTGAATGATTCTCTGAAAAGATTCCTATTTGAAAAGTTAGATCGACAACATGGGTGAAGCAAGCACATCGGGATCGTCCAAGGCCAGAAGGGACAGGATCGATGCTGTTCTCCGCCTTTGGCTGCCCCCTCCTCCTCCGATGATGATGGTACGTGGTGGTGGTGGTGGTGGTCACATGCGATTCAAATCGGACCCCCAGCTATTATCTGATCATGAGCCCAGCCGTCCGCACGCTTTCTCCTTCCATCTCTATGGATTCAGTTGTTTTTTCTTTTATTTTATTTTGATAACACTTTGCGTATTCCTTTGCGAAAGTAATTTGGGAAAGGTTAGTCGACACCCATGCTCTAACTTGTTTCCTTGACTGCAATGTTACTATTTGGCTAAGGGATAATCTATAGCTGACCATTCACAAAGAGGTTTTTATTATATGATTGTAGTTACATGTTTGTTGTTACGTTGTTGGAGAATTCAGCGAAACTTTTGAGAAAAATTTTGCAGCTCCTAATGAGTTGGTTCTAATGATAATTTGAGTGGAAATTGTTGTGTGCATATCAAAGGGTTTGGATTTCTTCTTCTGTTTAGATCTGGTGAATTCTTTGTTGTTAATGCTTAGCTTAGATCAAATGCTTATTGATTATAATTTTTGATCTTCTGCTTATTTGTTTAATGATGCAAGATAGATTGTAGTTTCTATCATTATTTGTGGTTGATTTATTTTTTTTTGAAGTGCCTATTTATACACAAAAACTCGTTCCTTGTTTTGCAATTCAATAAATTCATATCAGCATTAAGAGATATCGACTTGATCCTATGTTTATTGCATGTATCAAAGAAATCACTTTTCAGTTGAGAAACGTTTTTGCGTACAATAAGTTTTAGTTCGTCGTGTCGTGCATGTGTCCGTGTGCCTTTATCTTTATCATCTTTGTTTGAACCCATGATTTATCTTCAAGTAGACTGCTTTGTGTGTGTTTACTGTGAAATTTCAAGTAAATATTAAATATAAGATTAGACAGCCGACACACAATTTGAAGTTTGAAAGACCAGTTCTAAAGAAGAAACCATTTTTGATTGCTAGAAATTTATTCCTATATTTCAGCTTGAGCAAATTAATCAGCATATATGGGCACCGTGACTGATGCTTCCAAGGTAATCCTCCTCCTCGTTTCTCTTAGTCTTTCATGCACTCGATCAATTTATTTTGCTGAGAAGTATCAAATTTCAAATGCCCATGTGCCAGTTGGGTCAGAGGACTGGAGGGATGGATCACCTCAAATGAGGATAGATACTATTTGTATATGTATCAAAGTGCATGTAATAGCATACATCACAACATATATAGAAAATGCATTATATGATTTAGCCATGTCTCGATTTTAAAAATTGAGGACCAGTGTCATATTTACTGGAGGAATTCGACCAAAAAGTTCTTAGTGTTAGTAACTCTATAGTGTAGTAGTAAAGTACATTGATAAACTTGAAGAAAAAAGTGCTCCAAGGGTTTGCTTTGGGACTGCTGAAATCCTCTAATTAGGTTAGGAAATAAATCATGTGTCATTTAGATCCTAAATCTTTTCAGGGGGGACCTTTGAACTGGTTATCTTTCTAGTGTTAGTCTAAAGTATAGACCCAAAGTTAAAGCGAAAACTAGAATCATGAAGAACACAGTCCAAAAAGTCCAGGAGAACTGCCAGTCAGCCTGGCGGTCTACCGTGAGTCAGCGGCGGTCGATCGTGAACGTGCACAGGAGTCAGGGAGAGGCTAGAGCTGAAGGCAGTCGACCACGGTGGTCGACCGTGCCAATCTTGTAATGTTTTCTGCTCTCGGGTTTTGGTTCGATCGACCGCGATACCTACACGGTCGAGCGTGACGGTCGACCGCGACGTTGTTTTCCAGATTCCTTATGAGTTCAGGAAATCTGTTTGGGCTGGGTTTGATATAAATACCCAAACATTTTTAGGGTTTGTTAAGCATCAGAAAATCATCAAAAGAGAGAGGTTTTGACAGAGAGATCTCAGAAAGATAAGACCCTAGTTTGAGAGCTTGTATTTCTTCTTCAATCAATAAAAGAATTGTGTGGTGTGGCTCCCGAGGACGTAGGCATGTTGCCGAACCTCATTAAATCTGTGTGTTCGTCTTCTTTATTTTTCTATAAGTTTTGATCTTTATTTGTGGTGAATTTTCCTACTTTCCTACTTTCAAACACAAGGTCTGAAAGTACAAGGGTTCGATTTGATTGTTTTGAATCCCCAACAACTGATATCAGAGCTTCGTTCAGCAATTTGTGTGAAAGCCATGGCAGAGAAAATCAATGAATCCCCAACAACTGATATCAGAGCTTCGTTCAGCAATTTGTGTGAAAGCCATGGCAGAGAAAATCAAATCTAAGATCGAGAAGTTTGACGGAGCTTCGTTCAGCAATTTGTGTGAAAGCCATGGCAGAGAAAATCAAATCTAAGATCGAGAAGTTTGACGGTTCATACTTCGCCTACTGGAAGTCACAGATGGAGGACTATATGTACCGGAAGGACTTATATCGCCCGTTGATGGGTAAGGAAAAGGGACAGAAGAAAGAGGAATCAGATGATGATTAGGAGATACTGGATAGGAAGGCTTTAGGGCAAATCCGGTCGTCGCTCGCCAAGTCAGTAGCCCACAACATATTGAAGGAGAAGATGACGGTGGGGCTTATGGAAGAACTCGCGAAGATGTACGAGCAATCGTTGGCAGCAAACAAGGTGCATCTCGTCAAGACTCTTTTCAACCTCAAGATGGCAGAAGGACGGTCTTTCACGATGTACCTCAGCGAGTTCAACATGATCATTGATCAGCTTATCTCCGTAGACATCACGTTTGGTGACGAAGTGCAGGCCCTACTGTTACTATCGCAGTTGCCGGATAGTTGGGCAGGTTGTGTGACGACAATCAGCAATTCAGCAGGGAAGGAAAAGTTAAAGCTGAGTGAGGTTGTTAGCATGATTCTATCCGAGGAGGTTAGAAGGAAATCGTACAAATCAGAAGGTTCAGGTTCAGCCCTAAATTTTGAGCAGAGAGGCAGAAGCCAGAAGAAAGAAAACCAGAACAGGAATCGGTCGAAATAAGTGAAGAAGAGGTCGAACTCGAATGTTAAGCCTATCAAAGGGAAGTGTTAGAACTACGGCCAGGAGGGCCATATGTCTTCAGTCTGCAAGAGTCTAAAGAATGATGCGGGTGAGCAGGAGGCTCATATCGTGCAGGATGTCTTGATCCTTGCTATGGACAGCGACACGGATTCTTGGGTCATCTGTTAGACCCTAGAGGGGGGATGATTAGGGTCTTATGCTAATCTAATCCGATTAAATACCAATTAAAACTTATTAACAAGTTATCCTAGCAAGTATGAAATACAACAATGTATATGAGCTAGGATAAGTAATATGAACAACAAAGAGATATATCCTATATGATGAATATGTATATATGCAAGGATATATAAACAACACAAGGGTAAAATAAACAATCTACACAAGTGATAGGGTAATATGATGAGCAATACACAAAGGCGATATAAGATATGAAAACAAGAATAAGAACGCCAATGCAATCACAAACACACGATATGATCACGGAGTTCGGACCTTCCGTCCTACGTCTCCGCTCCCCACTCCCGGGGAGAATTCCACTATCACAACCGGGTTTTCTACGTTCACCCGAACAACGTTTACACCTCACAGTATCGGTTTTCAACGCTCACCGATCAACGTCACTCCTCACAATCGGTTTTCTAGTTCACCGAAAACTTTCACACCACACTCGGTTTCTAGCTCACCGAAAACCTAACAATCTCACAATGTAACAAATATAAATTGTTCTCTAATATGGATGAGAACACAATAAAAGCTCACACTCAATGCTACAACTCTCACAACCCTAATATATTATGAATGCAAATACAATAAGCTCAAAGTGGGTGTGTGTAACAATGAGTGAAATCAAATCTAAACTCAATATAAAACTAGCTTTAATAGAATTGATAATTAACAAATAACAAATGAAAGCTAGAGTAGAGTTTAGAAAACTTCTCAATGGAAGACAAGATGGAGAGATGGAGATTGGAGCCCAAACAAGAAGATGATCTCCTCCACTTGTGAAAACTTCTTCACAAACAAAAACAAACCCTTAAACACACTTAAACCCTTGTTTAAAACTTGTTTAAAAACTTCTTAGATAGTTTGAAAAGAGATCAGCAATGGGTATTTATACCCTCTCAAAACTCAGCCAAAAATCCCAAGTCAAAAGACCAAAAAACCATCTTCAACGGCTCTAAAAAGAGCCGTTGGGACTCCAGCGGTCGACCAATGAAAATCGCAGTCGACCGCGAACAAGGTCAGAAGCTCAGGAGACATCCAGAGAGCCTTC